AAAAAAATATTTATTTATTTATTTTGTGTGTGGCCAGCTCAGCCCATCAGGGGGCGGGCTGGCTGGCATGTGGTGCTGGGGATTGAACCACGGTCCCTGTGCTTTGCTTGGCTTAGCTTGTTCTAAGTAGGTGCTTTAGACCACTGAGCCATCTCACCAGCCCTCCATTTTGTTTTTAAAGCTTGACTGTTTGAGGTGGGGTCTCATTTAAGTTTTCTGGGCTGGCCTAGAACCCATGATCTTCCTATCAGCCTCCTGAGTAGCTTCCACTCCACACCTGACTTGTTCTCTGTGGTTACTGTCCTGGGGACGGTGCAGGTGCACGCCAGAGCCCGCCTGACTTCTCTTCCTTGTGTACAGCGTCGCTGGTGTACCGCCTGCCACAAGCGTGGCGGGGGCCCCGGCTGCCCTGGAAGGCCCTGCATGCGGCCCTGCACCTGGTGGCCTTTGTTGTCACCGTGGTGGGGCTGGTCGCTGTCTTCCGGTACCACAGCCACGCCGGCGTCCCTCACCTTTACTCCCTGCACAGCTGGCTGGGCCTCAGCACTGTCGTCCTCTTCGCCTGCCAGGTAAGTTCCCCGCCTACCTCTTGCAGCCCCCTGGGGTCCCCTGGTCACTGCCTGGAGGCCACGTGGGGCGCTTCCCACAGCTGCAGGCATGGCCTGTACCCCCATCCCGGGCAGCTCAGCCCTCTGAAGAGAGGTGGTTTCTGCTGGAGGGATTTGTCGTGGCGGGGAGAGGGTGCTGGAGGCGGCTGGGAGGCAGGACAGGCCTGCAGGGTCCTCCGTGGCGCGAGCCCAGCAGCTCTGGCCTGCAGCCGCCCCCTCCCCCCAGTGGCTCCTGGGCTTCGCCATCTTCCTGCTGCCCTGGGCTTCACTGTGGCTGCGCAGCCTCCTGAAGCCGCTCCACGTCTTCTTCGGAGCCACCATCCTGGCTCTGTCCATGGCATCTGTCATCTCCGGCATCAACGAGAAGCTGCTCTTCAGCCTGTGAGTTTGTCTTCACGCCTGGGAGGCTGTGGGTCTAGGTGTGAGTGGTGCCCAGTGCTGGTCCTGAGAGCCAGGAGGGCGGTGTGCCGTCATCACTTCCCTGCCCTCCAGCCGCACGCCCCGTGACCACCACGTAGAGGTGAGGACAGGAAGGGAGGCTGAGGTGGCGGATTGGGAATTCCGGGTTAGCCCGGGCACCTTAGCACGCGCAGGCCGCTCTGAGCTGCACAGTGGTACTGTGTCTCTCAACACAGCCCAGACACGAGAGGTGGTCACTGCCCCATAGGACAGCAGCATGCGTGGCAGCACTGGGGGTGGAGAGCTGCCTGGGTGTCCCTGTGGCAGGGGCTCACAGTGGGTGCAGTCCTGGGGGCGTACTCTCCCCACTCATGGCATTGTGTTTCCAGCCTCTCACAGCCACCTTCTGTCACCTCCAGGAAGAATGCCACTGTGCCATACCAGAGCCTGCCGAGTGAGGCCATCTTTGCTAACAGCACAGGGCTGCTGGTGGTGGCCTTTGGGATGCTGGTCCTCTATGTCCTTCTGGCTTCCTCGTGGAGACGCCCAGAGCCTGAGGCCCTGGCTGACACACAGGTTGGGCTGCTGGTTCCTGCTTGAGGGTGGCTCAGGCCAGGTCTGGAGGGGACAGGGCCCTAGCCTGGGGGAGTGAAGACATGGAGGTGGCGTTTATACCCGGTGTCTGGGCTCCGGTGGTGGGACCCCCCCCTTCCCCAAGGAAGGGCTCCGGTGTGAGGAGGGCGCCTGGCTCAACACTCGGGCACCTGGGAGATGTAGGGAGATGGTGTGCCTGTGGGCTCCAGGCCAGAGCCTTCCTGGGACACCTGGAGGCTGGGCGAGGTCTGCCTGGGCGGGGTGGGGTACAGGACAGGGCTTCACCCCGTGCTCCACCTCTGTGCAGCCCCTGTTGTGCGAGCGGGCGTGACCAGGTACGTGCCCTTGGAAGTCACCACTGTGGTCTGCACCCCCAGAAGCAAGCGCCCGAGCTGCCTGCTGCAGTGGTGTCTCTTTGCTGGCTGCTGCCCCGGCTCCCCTGGTGGCTTTGGTGTCTCGGCAGGGACTTCTAGGTCTCCCGTTTGTGCAGGAACCTCACGCCCTGGCCACAGCTTCAGTGCTGATCTCCGTGTGGTTGCGTGGAGCCACAGGAGGTGAACCTGGGCTCCAGTGGTGGTCGCAGCCCTTTGTGGGCAGGTGCCTGTGCCCTGTTGTTGGCCCAGAGTGTTGCCTCACCGCACTGTGTGTGTGAGGCCTACGTCTCTTGTGACTCTTGTCAGCTGCTGTTCCAGCCAGGGCATGGATGGAAGCCCCACTTTGTCACCATGTCTCCAGAAGGCAAGGAGGGTGGCTGCCTTGCTCCCCTGGTGGCCGCAGGCCTCTTGCCCTCCCTTCTCACACATCATAGCCGGGGAAACCAAGGCCTGTGCGTGAAGCCCTGGGCTCACCCCGCTAAGTGCAAGCTCCTCTCCCACACTCTGGTCCAGGCCCCAACCCTCCCTGGCAGGAAGACACCCAGCTGTCCCCTGGGTGCACCAGCCCTGCAAGCATTTCCCTTGCTGTCGAAGTGTGACTTTCATTAAAGTCTGTGTTCCTAGCACCAACACCCTCCTGGACTAGTGTTTCTTCTGGTTTGGGGGACTTCATGGGCCTGGCGTTGGGCGGTTAGAGTGCCAGGAGCCTCAGGGCCCCACCCTCAGGACCAGGCCATTGCCACGGTCCTGCTGTGACATGAGAGCCTTCTCTGAAGGAAGATGCTGGTTAAATTAGTGCTGCGGCCTCGGGGACCACACAGGTGCTGTCTGCCCTCGAGGCCCTGACAGCTAACGGCTTCTTACCGCAAAAGCAAGTGCTTCCTGTATTATAATCTGGAAAACAACCCACAGAAAGCACAAGTGACGGGCCTGAGCAGAGACTACAGCAGCCTCATGGGCAGAGAAGCCTGCGGCCACCCCAAGAGAGCCTGAGGAAGGAGGAGAGAGCCCAGGTGCCTGCTCTGATGGCCTGGGGCCTCCCTGTGCTGTGCTCACCCACAGACCCCGCTAGGCCACCTGGGTCCCTCGGACAGGAGCGCCCAGGCACCCTGTGCTGAGGACTGGTGTGCCAGGAATGCCCTGGCCAGCGTGGCCTCCCCACTGCCCTGCAGGCCGCCTCGCCTGCTTGCCTGGCTGCTAGGAGGAGACAGCCTGGCAAGGTGGGTGGCAGCTGCTGCCCCTGGAGCTACGGCATAGGGTGGGTTTTCCTTCCTTGTTCTCGGCGCCCACTGGAGTCACCATGGTGTGGGAAGTCATGTTGACTGTCTGGCCTGCCACTGCTTGGGATGTGGGCGCAGCTGCTGGGCAGAGCCTCCTGGGTCTGGGCCTGAGCGAGGGAGTTCCAGTGCCCAGCCAGGATGAAGGTCCCCAGGAGTCAGTGGCTTCATGGCCATTTTTTTCTTAGCTTTTATTCCATGCAGACTGGGTTCAGGCTCAGCCTCTCTTCAGGGGGTTGAGGTCAGCACAGGGCTGGGCCAGCTTGGACCAAGGGGCAGGGCAGGGATGGCAGCCTGTACCCACCCTCCCTGACCAGAAGCCCCCCACTGACACCCTGGGCAGGTGCAGGGCTCCTGCCCCACCGGATGGCATGGAGGGAGGAGGGAAGCAATCAAATGCCTTGCGCCTGCAGGGCCTCCAGGATGGCTCGGAAGATGGCGGCAGCTGCCACTGCGCCGGGGTCTGGCTGGTCCAGGCGTGCCGAACTGATGTAGCTGGCCCTGCCTGCCCCAGCCTCCATGGTCCTGGTGGCCTCAGCTGCAGCCTCAGCACTCT